GTGGATGGAGGTTGTGCAAAATGTGACTTAGAAATTCATTCTAATCTAGCTTTATAAATGTTTCAATTTAATACTAAACACTAAATGGTAAGGCAGTGAAGCCACCTATTCAAGGAGGTGGGATATTTTAATCACAAAACTGTTCTTTTCTGGAAAATAATGATATTAATAGGCATTCTGCAAAGACCAGTATCTTCTGGGACTCTGAAGATGTTGGTCCTTGTGCCTGGGAGATTTTTTGGATGGGCCATATTAGCACTAGAGCCTTCTGCCCATCAAGGAGGCCTCGTCACCAAGGACTGTCTTCTAGAACCTCTCAAACCTGAGCAGCTGAGAACTGTTTCCTGTAGTGCCCCTAGGATGGGCCTGGCTTTCAGCTCAAAACCTGTTTGCTAGGCTGGGCACTATGGTACACACTCTTATATATGTTACCTCTCGCCACGTGAGGGGCATAGGTAGGGAGATGCTGGTCTGAGTGAGCCTCAGGCAGAAATGCGTGAAAAATAAAGCAAAACAGGCTGAGGGTATGATTCAGATGAGATAGTGCCTGCCTAGCAAGTGCAAGGCAGAGTGCAAACTTTAGTGCTATTACTAAAAAGGAAAGACAAAAAAATCTGTTTCTTATTAGGTAATACAGGTTAGTGAGAACCATGTGTTTTGAAAATATGGTTAATAGCATTGTAGTTTTGAAATTGGATCGTGGAATGAAGCCTGCAAAGTGCAGTCAGGAGGGAGTAGAGGAGACACCATGATGTGTGGTGATGTATGATTGGGAGAAACTCAGACGTCTGCAGCCAAAATGGTTTTGGCCCTCTAGGAAGCTGTTAGGCCTGCAGCCTGTCTAGCTGGATCCAGTCATGCAAGTCTTTACTTAATGTAACACTGTTCTTGGCTCTTTCCAGATGGAGCCCCCAGTGATAGGGATGTGGCAAGGGGAAGACCTCAGGCACACGTGGCAGCTGTTTGGTCCTCCTGGTCTGAGAGGCCTATTTAATCCTGGTTCAGACTAAGCAGCTACATTTCTGTATTGCTGTTGTCATAGCAACCAAGATACTTCCACTCTCATGCAGGTAGGGCAGTCCTGGTGGGATGCAAAGCTGTGTGGGCACTAGATATCACAGTACCAGTAGGCGTCACAACTGTTTCTTTGACCTGACCCTTCAACAAAGTGTCAGCTGCTGCTGCTCATGTTTTGAGGTTTTCTGGATAATAAAGAGGAACAAAATCTGTTTTGTTCTATCAAAGACCATCTGTCTCCCATAGGACTTTCAAGAGTCACCTCAGGCTTATGTATTGACTGTCCACTGTCTTTCCCTCTGTTCCCCAAAGGGAAGTGGGAACAAAGGCCTTCCAGTAATCCAGTATTTCAGGGGGATCTGGCAGACTTTCACTCCCTTCTCCCAGCCAAGCTACCCGACCTCTCCCCTTCCTACTTCTTCCAGGTACTGTACTCATGTGGGACTCAGCAGCTGGAAGGCCAGCAGATGGATGTGGCTGGAGTCACTGGAACGTTGTGTGTTGTGTGTAGAGTTCTGGCACATGCCTCTTCCTCCCACGAAGGGACCCCTGCTTCCTAATGTAGCTGTGCTGACTTTATTTGTGCAGGAACCTGTCACCTCCTCTTCTAGGCATCTTTGCTTCTGAATCTGTCTTCAGTTTGGCCCTGAACTTTCTCTCTACAACTGGGATGTCTGCAGTCTTACCGGGATTAGTCAGGGCTCTCCTCAGTGGTAGAGTATTTGTTGAACACCTACAAGGCCCAGAGTTGGATCACCAACATTTATCAGGGCTCCAACAAAATAGAGCTGACATGTTCAAAATAATGACGAGCTACTTTTTTTTTTTTTTTTTTTTAGTTTTAGCAAGGATTTATTTAGGTATAATACAGTTAAAGTAGGGAGGTCTAGAAAAAGAGAGAACTATTTCCTGCATGGGGAGCAGGCAATTAAAGACTCCTTGACATTTTTTTCTTTCAAGATATAGGCACCAAAAGGTGAACAAATTCACCAGTAGTACTCCCTAGATACTATGTTGAAATATAACCTGTGGGTGAGGATGGGAGGAAAAAGTGGGGAGAGAGCAAGAAGAGAAGGGATAACATTGTCTAAAAAGAAATATACTCTTTACCTGACTTGTGTAATGGTAACCCCTTTGTACATTACCTTAATAATACTTTTTCTTAAATGGATAGGAATGTCTAGCCCTCTGGAAGGACTGGTACTGTTGCTGCTATTTTCAAACTAGCCTGTGGATGTGGTAACATCTTCAAACGAGCACTTTTGTTAATGTTATATTATGAACGAACATTTTCAGGACAAAAGACAAAAGGCATAACTAAAACATCTAAAATGAAAGAAAGAAAGTAACAGGTACTTGGAGCTAATTATTGGCATTCTACACTCATTTGTTTAAAAGGCAAAATAAAGCAGCAGCAATAACAAATCCTCACAAAAACCCAAAATGGGAAATCAGTTAAAATTCAAAGGTTAGGGTCAGCCCTAATGCTTGTGGTAAAGGTGTAGGCCTGATCGGACTGGTTTGGAGGCTTAGGATTTGTGAATACTGTGAGAGATGCCAGTCCCCAACCAGAACTGGGTTGAAAGAGTGCTTCCCAACATGGCCAGGGGCTGCTGTGTCTCTCAGACCAACTATGGGAGCAGATGTGTGTGGGTGCCACCTCAGCACCTTCTCCCCATGAGGCCATCTTGTCCCTTCTCCCTGTGGGGCCCTCAAGCCTCGTTGCCTGCTTGTGTGCCTGAGAATTCAACCTAAGCTCTACAGGTTGCCCTGTCTTCTGAAGCTCTGAGGCGCGCCTCAGCTCCACCACCTCTCAGGAGGTTGGTGGTGTGGTCTACACAGATAGAGATGGGTGTTCTGCAGTGTCTCTGATGTGGAGTGTTTCCAGGGTAATGGCTAAACTGCCTTCACCACGGATAGTCGTGTAGTCGGGTAGTCATTGATTCCAGGGCCTTTAAACTTGACACGTCCAGATCAGAGGCCCCAGATAGCTACTTTCTGTTGTCTGATCTTGTGCTGCCTCTGGGCGGGAAATGGTCATGAGACATTTGCAGATAGTTCTGGTAGATTATGCCGGTGCTGCTATATACCAGCACTTTGGCAATCAGAAATTTACTGACATAGAAGACATCACCCAGTTATTGAAAAGGATTTCTATTAATTTGCTCATATGCTCAGTGACTTTCTTATGTTAACAACATTAACAAAAAGTTAAAAAAAAAGGATCAAGTTGAGTTCACCCTGCTGTTTGGCATTTCTGGCCATCTAGTCTCCTTGGCTGTGTTGTCTTATGTATAGATCCTGCAGAGCAACACAAATGGCCAGAATTGGAGCTGGACCAATCACAGCTATATGCCTGCTAGGCACATCCAATAGGGTACAGAAAACAACCCATCCAAAAAGATGCTGGTTTGCAAACTAGATGGCCAGAAATGCCAAACAGCATCTTTTTGGATGGGTTGTTTTCTGTACCCTATTGGATGTGCCTAGCAGGCATGTAGCTGTGATTGGTACAGCCCCAATTCTGGCCATTTGTGTTGTTCTGCAGGATCTATACATAAGACAACACACCCAAGGAGTATGGACAGGCATCAGCATGTCTTATGTTTTGTTTGCTTATGGGTTCCCCGTGTCTCTACACTTTTCCTCCGTGTCTGTGTGTGTGTGTGTGTGTGTGTATTATCATTTATTGCTAGATGTCTTGCCTTGAAAGTCAGAATATCTCAGAGACAAATGAGACATCTTGACATTGATTCCCTTGACCTCACTGCCATGGAAGTACGTGTCAGTGTCAGAGCTGGAAGCCACCACCAGTGCCAACCTGACCAAAGCCACCACCAGTGCCAACCTGACCACCAGGGCCAAGCAGCACTGTCCACTGTAGGTTATGCTGTTGGCTGCTCCACAGTGACCACTGGACAGAATCATGTCAGGTGTCTCTGCAGAGTCCATCCGAAACTGGCTACACCAGGAGCTCCCACTTATTCCAAATGTGGTCAGAATCTTTCTGAGGCTCCACAAAGCGGGGCCTATAGGAGAAAAGACTGAGATCCATCCTAGGTCTCTCCTAGATTTTTTTCCCAACTTGCAAATCACATTGTGCTCTCAGCAGCCAGAGTTTATAGTTTAATTTTGCCAATGAAAAAGAGCCCTTCTCCTTGATAACATTCTTTGACCTGATACTGTTAAATTCAAAATAAAAAGGCACTTGACAGACAAATAAAGAAAATGTATTCTATATAAACGTGGAATAGTATTCACTCTTAAGAGGAAGGAAATTCTGATATCTGCTGTGTGTTAGCTTTTTGTGACAATAAATAATACCTGAAGTAATTACCTTATAAACAGAAAAAGGGTTATCCTGGCTATGGATTTGGAGGTTGCAGTCCACAGTCCAAGACGGGTGGACCCAGGCTTTGGGCATCTGGTGGGCTTGCTAGTGGCAGTGGTAGCAGCATATGTGGAACAGTCCATTTAGCGTTCACAGCCTAGAAGCAAAAGAGGGAGAAAGGCTGGAGTCTCATGGACTCTTTAAAGGGCCTGGCCACAATGACCTGACCCTGCCTCCAGGCTCCACCTCCCCAAGAAGGCCAGCCCCTATACAGAGCACCGTGCCTTGCTGTGAGTGGGTGAACCAGTGCAGAAGAGCAAGTGGTCCCTAGACTCACCAGTGTCCTGGAGACAGAAGACAGATCGGGGTACTAGGGTAGGGCATGCAAATTAGTACTGCATTGGGCATGGGTCCCCAGAGGGAAGATGAAGTCAGTGGATGGAGATGACAGTGTGCACCTGTGGGAAGGTACTTACCGCTATCTTTAGAGGTAGCAAGGGAGGTGCAGTTTATTTATGTGTATTTATTTTATCACAATTAAAATTTTGAGAACTAAAGGGACTAATGTGGGTAGTAAAACAAAAATCAAATAAATTCCAAGGCTGGTTGAACTCTGCTCTCATCACTTTGTTCCAGAAGTTGATGTTGCATGTGACTTTGTGAGTCAGCAGTACAGATGGCGTTTTGTCAGTATTTTCACTGGTAGAAGAAAACCAAGGCTGTGAAGTGTAAGTGACTGTACAGATGTAAGAGCAGGTACCTGGTCACGAAGCAAATGTATTGTCTGGACATGTACCAGGTCTGGCAGGCTGCTGAGTTGATGATATGTGTCACCTCTGCTTTTTAGGTGAAGCCAAGAATCTTCCCTCCTATCCGGGGCCAAACAAGATGAGAGATTGCTATTGTACTGTGAACCTGGACCAGGAGGAGGTTTTCCGGACCAAGATTGTGGAAAAGTCACTCTGGTAACTTCTGCTAATGTTCTCCCTAGTTCTGAATCAGTATCCAGATGTCTTTCAAGCTCTGTGTGGCCGTTGCCCTTTTCCATGTCTTGGTTAAGAGGTGGTACCCATGGGGCTTGGCTGTGGGTGGTGATGTGTCTTGGCAAAGATGCTGACGTTTGCTGGTGCTCCAGAAGTCCAGGACCCATGAGCACTGAGGCACCCAGAGCCACTTTCTTCCCCAAAAGGCAGGAGGAACTCTTTTAGAGATGACTGCAACAAGAGTTCAAGTTAAAGTTTTGGGAGGGGAAGTATATTTTAAAACAAATTTTTAAACCATCTTTTTTTTTTCCTTTGGTGGTTCTGAGGTTTTGGATTCAGGGCCTTGTGCTTGCTAGACAGGTATTTTAGTCCTTTTCCTTTAGTTGCTTTTAAGACAAGATCTCACTTTTTATTTTTTTTTTGTCCAGAGCAAGTCTTGAACCACGATTCTTCTACCTATGTCTCCCATGTAGCTGGGATCATATACACACAGTATCATCTCCCATGTAGCTGGGATCATATGTGCACAGTATTACCTCTCATGTAGCTGGAATCATATGCACACAGTGTCACCTCTTAGCTTATTTGTTGGATGACGTTTTTGCATGGGCTTGTCTTGAGCTGCAGTCCTCCCAAGTAGCTGGGATTAAAGGTGTGGGCCACTACACTGGGCTCTAAAGTTTCTTAAGAGACTCAATGTATATGGTCACCAAGGTAACTGAGCTGACTTCTTATTGAAGAGAGAGACTTAGAAACATTTATAGGTACAGTTTGAGGACTGGAGGGGTCACCGGGTGTCTAAGGGACTTTGCCTTCCAAATGGATTCCTGATCTGAGGAGAGCCAAAGTTGCTGCTGGCAGCTGTTGGAATAGGAGGTGGCAATGCCTCAGGTGTCAGAGAAGAGGAAAACAAGAGAGGAAGTAGGGAACCAGCGGATGTGTTGCTGGATGCTTGTTGGGTACTTGGTGTTGGGAGCACACCAGCTTCCTCAGTGGTTTTAGATGGTGAGCCAACTGGTGGATCAAAGGAGACAACTCTGAGCCAGGGAATCCACCATTGGGTCTGCAATTATGGTGCATGTGGCTTCAGAACAGCTATTCTGATTTTGAAGACATTTTTAGCAGTTGAATTATATCCTTGCCTATTGCTGTTTCTACATGGGAACCAACAATTTGTTCTGCTGACCTAGTAAGTTTAATTTTTAGAAAACCATTAGGCCTGCCCCTAATGAGGAAAGAGACTTGGCCCACTGAGGCTGAGTAATAATTTGGTTGTATTACTTGGGCTGAGTAATAATTTGGTTGTATTACTTGACATACTCTTAGATTCCTTGAAGTAAACTGTTGAGAGTGAGTAGATTGAGACATATTGTCAGAAATTGTTTGTTTTCGAAGAACGTCTATGGAATAAGATAATTTCTACTTTGCAAAAGAGGAACAAAATGTTACTTAGCAAGTTTGCTGGTGTCACCTAAGCAAGGCCTTCTGGGTTTGAGTGGGCCTGGAGAAGGGAAGCTGTTTTCTAGGCTTGGCTCCTGCAGACTCCTCCTTGGAGGCCGTGGGAGCGCACCCATTGGCACCCCATCCAGTGAGGTGAGAAAGGGCCCTTGTGTTTCAGACCCATCAGCAGGTTTAGAGAATAGGAGTTATGGCTTCTTGTGTGGGTCCCTGGGCACTGTGCCTCTGGAGCAGAAAAGAAGGCTGAAGGCAAAGGAGGATGGGAGCAATGATCTTGGTCTCCAGGAGTTAACAGACAAAGGGAGCCCTGAACCTGGGTACGCACCACACAGCCAACTCCTCATAGTCTTACTAGGCTTGGATTGTTGTTTGCTCATGTATTGACTGGTTCAGAGATTCTCACAGAGTGCTTATGGGGGTGTGTGCCAGGTCCAAGGAGAGGCTGTACAGGTAGACCACTGACAGCAAAGGAGCAGATGCACACAGACAAAACTGTTGTCAAAGTTTGCTTTAAAAAGGGCATGTATGTTTGGCTATGGTAGGTGGCCATTTGCCCTCCCCATATTGGGGGTTGGAAAACTGGCACCCCAAACTCCATTGTGATGCAAGCACCAACAGCAAGTGACCTACCACTCAGGAAAGAAGTGGGTAGGATAGCTTGTTGTCCAGCCTAGTGCAGAGTGTTCCACACAGGTGTGGTCCAGAGCCTCATCTTATGAATCTTGGTGTGCCTTGGGTCAGTAGTGAGTGGTATCTACTGAGGCCATGAGGTATAGTCAGGACAAATCCAGTCATCTCTCAGTTCAGGTCTCAAAGAATTTTCCTACATGAAGTTATGAATACCTTGAGCTCAGAAGAGAGAGTGCACAAAGAAGTTAAGCATGTGTGTGTGTGTGTGTGTGTGTTTGAAAGAGAATTAGAATTATTGTTTCTGAGCTTTTATCTTTTCTCAGAAACAAAGTTGATTTTGTGTGTATGTGTGTGTGTGTGTGTGTGTGTGTGTGTGTGTGTGTG